ATGACTGACATTATTATTTTCGTTTATCGTTTCATTTGATAATGATGACCGTTGATTTTTTTTTTTTGTTAAATGATTCATAATGAATTTGAATATGATCCGCATCGTGCATGTTTATACCGTGAAATTTTTTTTGTTTTGTTTTTGTTTTTTGTTGGTTTTCAATAATAATAATAATAACGACATGAATCATTCAGGCGATTAAACATTTGTTTAATTTTTATTATTTCAAGTGCCAGGTCGGTCTATTTGGTCCAAATGTTCCAATTGGAACGGTGAGTTCCTTTTTGTTGTTGTTGTTGATCCATGATGACAAATGAACAGTGTGAACAATGTACAATTTCCCACAAACTGAATGAGAAGAAAAAAATCGGGTACAATTTTTTTTAATTCCGGTTTTTCTTTTCTGCTGTTAACCATACGTTAAATTGAATTATTAATTATGTTTTCAACGATATCAAAAAAAACAAAAAAAAAATTATTACCTTGTTTGTCACCTGAATTATCTTTGTTGTTTTGTTTTTTGATTATTGATCGAATGAATGAATGATATGATTGTGTTGTTGTTGACCAAAATTTGACAAATTTTTTTCAATGGTTATTTCTTTATTTCATTTTCTGACAAATTCATTTCTGGTTTTCTTCAATTTTTTCTTTTCATTTTCTTATCCTACTCTCGGTTTTCCAAAAAATCATTTGACCAAAAAAACCAATATAAAAACGTAAATTTTATTTCCGTTTTGTATTCATTCAAATCAGCAAATCGACAAACGAAAATTCATTTTCATTTAAAATTTTTTTACGGATTGTGTAAAACAAACAAAATACGAAAAATCAAACTTTGAAAAATTTTTTTGAATAAAAACCCAAAAAGTTAAAATAAATGACTTGAAACAACAGCCCGAATTCCAAACATACAATAAGAAGACAAGAAATCATCATCATCATGAAACTTTTCAATAATCTATTCATCTGTTTAATGTTATGTTTTATTGGTTATATCAACATTGGTTGTTGGTCATTTCCAGTGTCAAAAGGAATTAAAGCAGCTGCTGCTGCGGCTGTTGCTGCTGCAACGATAAGCAAAAAAAAATTCTTTCCATTTCCAATTCCAATACCGATTCCGTATGTATTTTGTTTTTTGTATTTCTGTTTTTCTTTGATGATGATAATGATGATTTTTTTTTTGATCATAGAATTATGAAACCACCAATAGTTGAAGGTATACCAGTACCAATATCATTGGTTGCATTTGGTGGATTTCGTGGTCCTTATGGTTATGGTGGCATTGGTCATGGTGGTGGCGGCGGCGGAGGTGGTGGAGGAGGCGGTGGTGGTTTCCATGGTGGTGGTGGAATCGGTTTTGGACGTTAATTATTTTATGATGATGATCCCGAAATTTGATTTTTTTGTTTCAATACTTTACCAATAACACACACACACATACCATACATCAAATGAACTCATTTTTTTTGTTGAAGAAACAAAAAACATCAATAGTGTTCACCAATGGATAATCACACATAATTTGTAAACAACAGGACATTATTATTATTTTTTTACTACTTAAATAAATGAATTAAAAAAAAATACCAAAAGATTGGAAGGAAGGAAATAGAGAGGGAGAGAGAGAAAGAAAAAATTTACTTCGAAAATGATTGTTATTTAATATTTTATTTCAAATTTTTTTTGGCAAATTAATCAATCAATTAGTGGATTGGCATGTTTTTTGTGGTGGTTCTTGTTGTCTATGTAAATTAATCAATGAAATAAGTAGAAAATTGGCTGAAATTTGACAATTTCGACGACGACGACGACGATGATGATAAGTACAAAAATTTTTGGCCTTTTGTTAACATTGTACGTATTTTCAGTATGAAAAATGAAGAATAAAACTGATTAGAAAATTTATGGGAATAAAAAAGAGTGAAAATTATTTTTTGATTATCATGATTAAAATTAGTGGAATTAAATGGAATCCAAATAGTTTGGTCAATAGTTTTTGAATAGACTTTTTTTTCCGAACACCGTTTTCATTTGTTTTTCTTTGCTTTTTTGCACACATCAAACCAAAACCGATCATTTCTTTTTCGATTTATCAACAATAATTTTACCAGCAACCATCGGTAACATTGTACTACTACCAAGAACGGCTGCTTTTTTCGATGAAAATGCTGACATTTCATCTTCAAGAAGATTTTTTTCTCTTTCTAAACGTTTCTTTTCTTCACCATTTTCACGTTTAAGACGATCAAAACGATTATGCATTTCTCTTTCGGCTTCTTTTAATTCTTGTTCTTTATCTTTAACACGTTGTACAAAATTTGCACGCATTTCTTCTTCACGACGTTGTAATGAATCTTTTAATGCACGATGACGCCATTCAAATGTTTCATTAAAACTTGATCTATCATTTTCATTTTCATCACCACCAAAACCCATCTGTTGAAGACGAACACGACGATATAATTCATAATGTTTTGAATGTGTTGTATAACGTAAATCTTCCATATTAACACGAATTACCATGTCACGTAATCGTACAAAATCGCAATGATTTTCATTTTCAACTGAAACCAAAATCATAAGAGAAAAAAAATCATTATTATAAACACAGATCTCAATCAAATCAAAAAATGATAAACAAACCATGAACAGTTCCCCATGGATATTGACGTGCCCGTAAATGTTTACTACCGATACGAATAAATTCATTGCTTGCAACAATAGCAAATGGTGTGAGCGAATTATTTGTCGTATTAATATCGGCCACTTCCGAATCATCCACAGGAAAACGATAATATTCAATACCATTTACATTCAATTCATTTGTAATACGTGTACGAAGTTTTTCCAATTCTTGTTTAGTAATAGTATCAGCTTTACCAATGACCGGAATTAAATTGACTTTATTATGTAATGCTTTCATTGTTACTAAATCTAATGCACGTAAACCATGTCCAACTGGTGATAGAATATATATACAACAATGTATACGACTATCGATCAATGGACTTTGTGAACGATGTATTTTTAGTTCTTCTTGAAGATATTTTTCAAAATGTTCATCGATATATTCAACAATCGGTTTGTATGAATCGGCTAAAACAAAAAAAAAAGAAAATATGATTGAATAGATTAGATTGTTTTTTGTTTTGTTTTTTTGAATATTTCATTTTCAAATTACTTACTTTTATCAATTTGATCACCGAAACCTTTTGATTCAACCAATGTTAATTTGAGCTTAATATTACCTTCATTCAATTCTAATTGTTGAGTGTGAACAGAAACACCTGATAAATTATGACTACGTGTAGCCGATTGATCGGATGATAATTTTGTATTGAATAATGCTTCCAATAATGTTGTTTTACCAACACCTGTAGAACCTAATGCCAAAATATTAAAACCAAAACCATCACGTATAACACGTGATACTAATTGATCGGGTAATGTATCAAAACCAACATAGGTTTCAGGGCGAAGAACACGAAGACCATTTTGTGTACCATTTGTATTGTTACCATTCATTGTTATTGTACCATTTGTTGTTTGATGTGAACCATTCGTCGTATGTAATGTTTTTATTGATGTTGTTGTCGTTGATGATGGTTGCTGTGGAATATTACTCGATGTTGATATTGGTTGCAATGGAATTTTCGGTTTATTCGAAACCATTGGTTTCGAAATTGGTACTGATGATGATGATGATGGATTGGCAGAAGCAACATTACCAATCATTTGGTTATTAGCCTCATTAAGATGGTGTTCAGCCGACATGTTTGCAAAAAAAAAATATATCCAATTCTCTTCAATATAATTGAATCTAAATTAAAAATGAATTTGTATGAGTAATTGAACAACAAACAACAACAACAAAAAACATTCGAAATATGAATAACAAACCAATAAATGTGATGTGAAGAAGAGAAAGCAAAATCAATAATAATAAAAAACTATTAAGATTGACACGATGAAAACATAGAAACACAAAAATAGTTTCTATTTCTGAACGAAATTTGAATATTAAATTTGGAATGCTTGTTTTTTTCTTCTTTTCCTAACCAAGATGATGATGATGGCGATGATTAAACAATGTTGATGACCGCAGTAAAAAAAATGATGTAGAAAAACCAGTAATTTGACCAGTCAAAAATTTTTTTCATTGATTCAAATTGTCAACATTTAGGTTTTTTTTTGATAAAAAAAATCGAAATAAAGAGTAAGCCAGTTTGACAAGACCTGATCATATCACAAACACAAAAACACACTGGCATTGCCATTAAGCAAAACGAAAAAAAAAAAAAACAGTTAGCGGTAGCAGCAGCAATGGATATATATGGAGCTCCGTTTTGTCACTGGCTGTGTGCGGTGTGTGTTCTTTGACACCACCCAAAAAAAAAAAATTCGATTCCAAGAATACTCTATATGGCTCCTTGTCCATATAGGACGTATCGCGGTATTTTATTTTTTTTTTCTTGAAAAACAAAATTTGATTTGAAATTTTTTGATTTGAAACAAAAATTGAATTTATTTTTTCGATTTTTATTTAATTTTTCAATTTTTAATTTATTTTCACACAAAAAACGGAATTTTCCGAATCTTTAAAATTATTATTATTTTTTTTATTTTTATCATAATCATTTCATTTCATTTTATAAAATGACATGACATGAATTCAAACAAATTAGGAAATATAATTATTATGAACGAAACAAAATGGAATTGAATTAAATTGAATTGAATTGAATTTAACAGAAAAAACAAAAATTTCAAAAAAAAATTTCAAAAATCAAAAATCAAAAACGAAAACAAAAAAAAAGAAAAGAAAAATTCTTAATCGAATCGAATTTTTAATGTCAAACAATCGATTGTTGTTGTTGTTGGCTATCGATAGTGATTATCGCGATAGTGTTCGATGATAACAAGATTAATAAATAATGGTAAAATGTAATTCCTGTGTGTGTGGGTGGATGAAAAAAAAGTGAGTGGGTGTAAATTCTTATTCGATTTCTTTTGTTGTTGTTGTTGTTACATCAAAAAGAATCAAAAATAACAAATGACGATGATGATGATGATAATGATGATTTGTTGTTCCACGAAAAAATTGATGATGATGACCAATAATAATAATTTATTTGATTTGTTCCCGACAAGAAAAAAAACAAGAATGTGTTTGATTTGGTTTTTGGTTTTTGTTTTATCTCATAATTAAGTGATGAAATTAGTTGTTGATGATGATGATGATGGAAAGAATAGTTGATTTTTTTCATTTTTTTTTTCAATTCATTCTGTGTGTTTAAAATCTTATACCTTCACCATATAAAATATTTTCATTTATAATCGGCTGTTTTTTCCTATTTCGATTTTTATAATAATCATTATTATTATTATTTACAGATTTTAAATTTTGATAATCATCATCGTTGTTGTTGTTGTTGTTGTAATCATATTGGTCATCATTATCATCGTTGTTATCGTCGTTATCATTGAAATTATTATTATTATTAAAATTATTATTTTCTTTTAATAATTTTATTAATTTTTTTGATAACTTGCCTGTTTGTTGTTCGTTGGATGATGTGGTTGATGATTTTTGTTGATCAGCTTTTTTAAAACGCATACCTTCTTTATCCAATAATGATTGACCATTACCACCATTATTATTATTATTATTATCTTTTTTAAAACGTAATCCTTCACCATCTAATACTGATTTTCTTATAATAAGATTTTTATTTAATAATTCATTTGGATTTTTTTTAAAACGAAAACCACCATCTTCATTTAATAAAAATAATGGCCGTTTAAAACGCATTCCTTCATCATTCAATAATGTATCCGGTTTTTTAAAACGCATACCTTCATCATTTATTAATTGATTTGAATATGGACGACGAAAACGCATACCTTCATTTGTTAATAGATTTGGATTGGATTTTCGAAAACGCATTCCTTCATCATTGAACAATGGATCTGGACGACGAAAACGCATACCTTCATCATTCAATAAACTTGGATCTGCTTTTCGAAAACGCATTCCTTCGTCGTTCAATAGGCTAGGATCAGCTTTTCGAAAACGCATTCCTTCGTCGTTCAATAGGCTTGGATCAGCTTTTCGAAAACGCATTCCTTCATCATTGAACAATGGATCCGGACGTCTAAAACGCATTCCTTCATCATTCAATAGGCTGGGATCTGCTTTTCTGAAACGCATTCCTTCATCATTCAATAAACTTGGATCCGCTTTTCGAAAACGCATTCCTTCATTATTCAATAATGTATCTAATCGACGAAAACGTATACCATTATTATCATTGATTAATGATAAAAATTTTTTATTCAATAATGGTGATAAACGATTCTTATCCGGATAATAATGATAATAATTTAAATTTTCTAACAATATATCATCATCATTATCATTATTATTATTATTATTGAATAATTTTCTACGAAAACGTAATCCTTCATTATTTAATAATGATTTTTTATTATTTATATTTGATGATTTTATTGAATTTTTTTCCTGTTGTTGTTGATAATGTGGATGCTGTTGACTGATGAGACGAATAAAATTATCATTCGCAACGTCATTATCATCATTATGGTTATCTGTTGATGATAATCGTGGCCATTGTCATTGATTGATTGATTGCATCATCAGGATGGTAACCATAAAAAAAATGAAACAAAAAGAAGAAAAAGAAAGATTAATGGAAAATAATCCAATTATAAATGAACGCACGAACATCTTGTATAATCCAATCAACAAATGTTTCCGTTACTATCTCTCTCTCCCTTTATTGAAAGATTTCTATTTTTGATTTTCGATATTTGTTTGTTGTTGTTTTTTGCCCTTCAACAAAATAATCAAAAATCAATCAAAATAGATATTTTTTAATACTATGAAAACAAATGTATCAATCGAATCGTAAAGTAAATGTTTATTTCCGATTAATAAAATTGAAATTTTAATCAAACTATTTGATGACGATAGTGATGGTGATGAAAAGATCAAAGTGGCAATAAACAAACACAAATCATTAATCATTGGTGACAAACATTTCATTTTCAATGACAAATTGACAGGTTTTGAAGAAAAAAAAAACGGTCCAAATTATGTAACAAAAGTAAGTAAATTGAGTAAGTAAGTAGAGAGTTTCCAAAGAATCTGATCTTTCACACAAACTCTTTTCTCCAGAAAAAAAATCATCTGTATCAATAATCACGAAATGTAAATAAATGTCGATTTTTTAATGTTGATTTTTTTGGGTGATGCAACAACAACAACAACAACAACAAAAATTCAGATAAGAATTCAATGGAAAAGAATTCAAGCTTTTCACATTCAATTTGATGAAGAAGAAATAAAGTGTGATAAGAAATTGATTGAAAATTCTGATGTTTACTTTCTTTTTCTTCTTCACTAACACCGTCATTATCATCATCCTTATCAATCCAATCGATCGATTATGTAAACAAAAATTTTTATTTTATTTTTTATTAATCCAATTCTTATGAAATGGAAATAAATATCAATATATTCAGTATTCAATTTCATTTCCTGTGCTGTTGCTTGTTTGTTGTTTGTTGTTGTTGATGAATTTTTTGGTGAATTTCAAATAAATCACACAATATATCGATATCCTGGCTGACTGTAGATATAAATCAGTTTGCGTGTGTGTTTGTTATTTGATTTATTTTTCACGATAAAAAAAAATTAAAATGAAATAACAAACAAATCATGCCAAAGCACCAAGAATAAATCGAAAAAAATAAAATTAAAAAATCATCATCACACAAAAACGAAATGAATTTGATGGCAAGTAAATATCTTCGAGCAAAGAATTTTTTTTTCTTGAAATTAAACTCTTGATTTTGATTTTGATTTGATTTTTTTCGATATTAATTTCAATTTTATTGGATCAAATAAAATTGACATTGTCAAATTGAGAATGGGAAAATGATTCTTATTAATAGAATTTCTTTTTTCCAATTTCATTCAACGTTTGTCAACGAATTTGTGTTGAATTATACTTGATGATACACATTGTGTTGATTTGAATAATTGATTTTGGATTTTATTTCTTTTGCTTTTAGCATGAAATTTCAAGTTTAATGAAATTTTTTTTTAATTGTCATTTTTTTGGAATCGCGAATCGTAAAATTTCTCAAATATTTACTCAAAAGAAAAAAATCGAATTGAAATTTGATGACTATTTTTACTGAAATTCCGTTTTCGGGTGAAAATAGCTTTCGAATCGAATGATTTTATTATCATTAACTTCTTAAATGGATATTATCGAGAAAATTTAATGTTTTGTTTTCCTAAGAAAAAAACTATCATCCGAAGATTCTCATTTATAACAATTTTATATTGAAAAGTATTTTTTTCCGGAATTTAATTACAATAAATGATTGTAATTCAAAAATGGTATTTTCATTAAAATTTTTTTTATCTATTTTCTCACGCCATTATCATCAACAGTTCCGGGTAATGAAGAATGTCAAAATGAATTTTCATCTTGTGTTTTTTGCATCAAGAATCTCGCTATATTCTAATCATCATCATCATTATCATATCACTTTGTACATCTTATTCTAATCATCATCATTATTATTGAATCATTTATAGGATAATGTCAACAACAACAACAAAATGAAATGAATATATATTGGTCATATGAAAATCATGTTTACCGATTCAAGTTTTTGTATACACCCACGCACATCAAAATACTCCCTTAACAATTCTCCTTTAGTAATAATAACAAACAATGAATAAATGAAAAGCATCGGGAAAAAATTTGTCATCACTATCATCATCATTATCATTATCGTTATCATTTTTATTATTTAGTTTTTTCTCTATAAATATTTTTTTTTTTGTTTTTGTTTTGGCTATGTTCACACCAGTGTTCATTAATTTTTTCTCTATATTGATCATTATCATTTATGAATCTTTTCTTTTCTTTTTTTTAGTTTTTGGTTTCAAGAATAATTCATGATGGAAAAAGAATTTTAGTGGAATTAAAGAAATGAAAAACGCGAAAGTCTTAACGAGAATTTTCTTAAATTGAAAAAAAAAACAACAACAACAACATTAAATTGTAGCTAAAGTATATTGAATTTTCTGTTATTTTTACTGATAAAATTTTAATCTTATTTTATACAGCTTTTAAACCACCACCACCACCACCATTAAATAACATTATCATCATCATCATCATACGACCAGAATAATAAATGTGGTTGTGTGTGTGTGTGTGTGATTAACGGAAAAGAACTGGGAAAACAGAGCAAAAAAGGTTTGATGATGATGATGATTCCATATGAATGTCAAAATTACATAATGAAAAAAAAAATACTGGCAACCATATATATTGGCACATCTAATCATATCACACATCATCTAAAATAATAATATTACGTGATGTGATATGATTTACAATTAATCTATCTATCTATCTATCCTTGTTTCTTTATTAAGTTTTTTTGGATATCTACATCATAATAAGTTTATTAGATGAATGAATGAAACAAATGAATTCGATCTGACAAACAAACAGATAAGAATCAAATATTATCTATTTTTCTCTCTACAATATGATAGAATATTCTATCCATTTTTTTTTTGATTTGAATCAAAGATTCTTTAATTTATTCATCATCATCATCATCATCATCATCAAACTGTCTGTCAATAGATATAATTAGTAATTAATCATTAATATCCATATGGAAATGTCATTCATATCATATCGATATAATGATGATGATGATAATGATCAGATATAAATCTTGACAATATTTATTTGTCGTCATCATCGTCATCTGATTCTGAAATATCAAATCATCAAATGCTTTTTTTTTTGGATCAATTAATCAATAATTTCAAAGAAATTTCCATTCTCATTTACATATGGGAATTTGTGTGGAAAAAAACCCATCACAAAAAAAAAACTTCTTGTATGTATGTCACTGGAATCGATCAGAATTTTATGAATTTTTTCATTTTTTGGCAAAAATAAAAAGTTTCAAATAACAATTATGAAATTTGAAACTCTTTTTATTTTTAAATTTTGATTTTTTTTTTTAATGAATATTTCAAAATTTTCGTCATTAATATTTTTTTTTTTTTTTGATAAACTTATTACTTACAAAATTGTCTCCATAGATTATAATGATTCAATGATGATGATGATGGTAAGCGATTTGATAACTGTTTTTGTTGTTGTTGTTGTTGTTGTTCATTAAATAATTCTGATTTAGCCTGATTATTCATTGTTGGCCATTGTAATAATATTGAACAGATTATTATCTGCATCCATAATGAATAAATCATTGTCGATGATGATGATGATGATAATGATAATTGCCGTCGTTGTCGTTGTTGCATTGTTCGTGATGATAATGATTGAAATAGATTTTTGATTATTAGTTTCATCATTGTTTTGTTTTTGTTTTTTGCTTTTTGGCTGTTGAATGATTGGATCTTCTGTGATCTGAAGCTGGTTGAAATATTCAAAAAAAATAAAATCAAAATCGTAAGTTTTACTTTTCTATTGATCAAATAGGAAATTTCGAATCATCTTTGGTTTTTTAGTTTTGGGTAATTCGAAAATTCTGTTTCATCGAATCGAATATCATCTAAACAAATAATCAAAATGATCGTTATCATTGAAATGGATGGCTTACTTTATATCATCATCCATATTGGAATTTTTTGTTTGTTTGTTCATTTTGTTGTTGTTGTTTTCGTTGTTTAGTTTCGCGCGCATAATTTTTTTGTATAAATTTCAATTATATAGCAATATCTGATTGGAATTTTTCGGTCTACTTTGCTTGTTTTTTGGTGTCTGCAAACTGACATCATCAACAGCAACAACCATCACCGAAATTCCCCCCCCCCTGATGACCGAATTGAAATTAATTTGAAATGACACATTTTTTTCCCATATGAAAACAACAACAACGAATGAACCAAATCAAAATTGATGATAGGAAAATATGAAATTTATTGTGATTCAATTCTTTATTTTTCCAATGCCAATTTTTTGTTTTTTGCCTTGAAAATTATCCCAAAATTGGAATTCAAATAATTGAAAATCTTCGCTTTGGATTAATGTAAATTGATAATTTATTATTAACATTTTATCATTTTTGGATTTCAATTTCGTTTTCTGATTCTATCCAAATCAAAAAAATAGAATCAATTTTTGTTTATCATTTCCTTCCGTTCCCGAGAAAAAAAATGTGTTTGAACAAAAAAAATTGTAATTTCAAATTGGAAAATTGAAAATTTTAAAATTAATAATGAAAACATCATTGATGAGAATTGATGATGGTAATGATAATGTTTATTTGTTTTTCCTCAGAAAATCAAAAATTTGAAAAAAAAATGAAAATCATATGATGATGATGATCTCTGTTTGTTTTTTTTTTAAAAAAAAAAGGTACATTTTGGTTGTTTTGTTTATGAATTTGCCAACGAAATCAATTTTTTTCTCCTTGTTTCTGGTTTCTTTCCCAAAAAACACTAATAATAATAAATAATGATGTTCAATATTTATTTTTTTTACCACCGAATCTGTCTCTGCTTGATCTTTTTTTTTTTAATTTGATAAAATTAATGTTTCTCCCTGTCGGTGTGTATGCGGGAATTAACATGGTGGTGGTGGTGGTGGTAATTTTTGGATAATTGGAATATCGAGGCCAATGATATTGGTTTTGGTTGTTCTGTCCGTTGTACTCTTGGGATTTTGTCACTGTTGTTGTTTGGTTTCTTTTTAAAGCAAAGCGAACAAAAATTCTATGAAATTTCGATTGGAAAATTTTTTTCTTCGAAATACCAAAACTGAATTATTTGCCTTGACTTGTATTGATGGTTATTGATTCGGATTTAACTTATTTTAGTCTGCAATTGGTCCTGTCATCAATTTGGGATTTGTTTTTCAATGATAAAATTGAAATTTAAAGAAAAGAAATTCCAGATAATAAATTCATTTTCCGATTTTCCAATTGAAAATGTATTTGAGAATTTTTTTTCGGGAATCGAAATCAAAGAAAAGCTGAAATAAGTTGTCATTTTTTTTCGTACTCAAGAAAAACATTTTAAAATCTAAAAAGGAAATCTTTTTTTTTTTTGAATTTTAAATTTTTTTTCGTTAAAATCTTTTCCGTTTTTTTCCCTCAGTTTTTCATCATCATCATTATCATTGCAATTCCATCCTATTTCCATCGATAACGGAAAACGATTGAATTAAATAGAATTCAATAGAACAGAAACAAAAAACGATTCCGGAAAACAAATCATATTTATTATATCAACTAAAACAAACGAACGAAAGAATTTCAAATCAATCGATACATTTGAGAAATGTAGAACAAAAAAAGATATTGAAAGAGATAATATGATTAATTATCAAAAGTCAAAACCAAAAAATAAAAAAAAATTCCAATCGATCCATCCGACGTGCTTCTTCAAAAACGATTCCATATGAAAAAATGTATGGAATCTTTTCATCAAAATGAAGAATTACCAAAAAAAGAAACAGACATATCGAAATATCAAAATACCATGAATGAATGAATGAATGAATCGTGTGTGAGAGAGAAAAAGAAAAAAGAAATGAAATTGAATCAAATAACTCAAGAGATTCGGCATGAGATTTGTTTTTTTAGTTGTTTTTTTTTTGGTTGTTTTTCGGTTCTTCCAAACCCATAATGATTAATTATGTATTTCTCTTTTTTTCATCTATGATGATGATGATCAATTTGTAATTATTGTGATCAAATGAAAATGGAAATTTTTTTATGTTTGATCAACATTATAGTCCGCGGATATTCTCTATCTAGTTTTTTTTATTTCCAACGTTAAGTCAAAAAAACACCGAAATCCAAATCACCATATGATGATGGTCATATGATTTTAAAAAAACAACTTTTGTTTGTGTGTGTTGACAAAATTGATTTTCTCTTCTTCTTCTTCATCTTCATCATCTGACATTCATTTCGATCCAATTGATGATCTAATTAATCATCGGATCAAAATGGGAAAAAAAATCCAATATAAAAAATTTATTCAGTACAAACGAACCGGATGAATGTTTTGTAAATAAAACAGAAGTCAACAGATGATGGATCAATGAAAACAAAATAATAACCTTTAAAATTTCAATATTCGTTTTTCGTTTGTTTGTTTATTTGAATAAATTCAATTTCAAAATTCAATTTGAAATTTTCCTATATATAAAGTTAATGAAGAAAAAGATATTTATTATTATTATTTTGCATTTGTTTGTTTAATAATCTTTTTTTTAAATAGAAAAAAAAACACATTGTAAATTTAGTTTCTTCGGTCATTAAAGAAAAAGAGTTTTAAATTGTTGTCATCATCATTTTGTTGTTCACACAAGAACAACAATTATTTTATCAAATGACGAGATTTTTTTTTTGTTTTGGTTAAAATATTGAATTGTGAAAATGTATAAAAAAAATGACAACTTTGAATTTGAAAAGTTTTATGTTGTTGTTGTTATTGTATTTGAATTTGTTTTAAAAATTAATAAACAAAAATGAATGTATTGTATGTTATGTCATTCAAATGGATAGTGGGGGATCGATGAAATGAAATAAAATGAAAAGTGGAATTTTGTTTTTCTTTTTTTGCTTTGTTTTGTCTGTATTTGCCGACGATCGATAATGATGATGATGATGATGATGACGATGATGATTGATAATCGAAATTCGATGAAAGAGATATAAACAATTCAAATTTTTTTTTTCTTTTTTGATATTTAAATTTTTTAAAAAATCGATATCAACGAATCAATATTAATGTGCAAAAATGTTAAACCACCATCACCGTGAAGATTCCAGTACAAAAAAAAACATAAACATGATGAAATAAAACATTGTAATTTTCATATTATTTTAAAGAAAATAATCGGCTTGTGGCTTTTTCGATGGAACACCTCTTGTTTCCTAATCAATGAAAATTATTGGTGAATTTTTTGGTTCATTTACAAAAAAAAACAAATATAATACCTGTGGTGCAGCTTCAAATATGGTAAAACCACGTGTAAGATTTTCATCTAATTCAAGAATTGCTGCAACATTACCACAACGATAACAATAATTTGGTGCCGACCAAACAGTCAACACTGATTCATTGAAATGCCATTTATAGCCTTCCATTACAAGTTGATGTGCACGACATATCATTTCCAAATGATTGGTATTGTTAAATTGTTGGACAACATCAGAACCGAATAGAAAACCGGCACCACGTGGTGACATACCCCAGCCAGTTGTTTCTTCCGGATCTGACCATAAAAGATCACACATAGGACCATCATGAGGAACTTCTTGTTTTCGATCAATTATACGTATTTCGTCTAATGTTTGTATCGATGGTGAAAGACCGCCATGAACACAGAATATCTTTTGAAAAAATAAAAATTCATTTCAATTAATTAATTTCAAACAACATTTTCTTGATTTTCTTACACGGCCATCAATAATCGCAGATAAAGATAAATAATCAAATACTTCGGTACAATAACGCCAAACTGTTGATGTACCATATTTACGAAGACATTCATCATAAAAGCCATATACTTGAGTGATTTGTCTTGATTCATGATTTCCACGTATTAATGTAATCCTATCTGGATATCGAACCTAATAGATCATCATATTTTGATCAGAAATTGTATTGCATAAAACAAACAAATAAACAAAAATTTACCTTCAAAGCTAATAAAAGTAGAAATGTTTCCACTGAATAGAAACCTCTATCAACAAAATCGCCCATAAATAGATAATTGGTCGTTGGTACATCACCACCAACTTTGAATAATTCTTTGAGATCATAGAATTGTCCATGAATATCACCACAAACCTAAATCATTCAACGAAATTAATTTTATCATTTTTTTAAAAAGAAAATAAAAACTTACAGTAACAGGTGCATCAACTCGTTGTACATTTGATTCTTCCAATAAAATTTCTCTTGCTTTTGAACATAAACTTTTTACTTCACTTTCGGTTATTATTTCACAACGTCTTAATTGTTCAATTTGTCTATCTAGATCGGAATTTGTACAGCCAGTAACAACTGGATCGGTGGTAAATATTGATTCTGATTCATTTACCGATGATGATGTAATCGATGATGTTGTTGTTGTTGTCGTGGATGATGATAATGACGAAGTTGTTGTAGTTGAAGATGAAGATGATGATGATGTTGTTGTTGTTGTTGGTGATTTATTTGCTGCATTTCTTTGCTGTAATTTTTTTATGTAATAATCATTTAATTCTTTGAAAAATAGGAGAAAAAAAATTAAAATTTTAAAAAAAATTTTGTTACATGAAAAACATTCTTAATATTACCTGTAATATTGATTGTATAATTTCTTGATTCATCACAAGTAGACATTTCCTCGTCTTTGGAAATTGAATCGAATGATTTCATTGATGTAATTTGAATTTAAAAATGTTAATCCTGTAAAGAATGTTGCTTGGTTCTTTTGTTCGACTAACGATAGTCACGGCCCACTTAAAAAAAAAAAAATTCACTGCTTGTATAAACAATCAAATGAGCAAAATTTGTTGATAATGATTTTTTATAAGAAGTTAAAAAAATTATTGATTCAAAAGAACAGATCAATAGTAATAATTCATTAATTAATTATGGCTAAATATTATCAAGATGATTGAATTCTTTGTTTTAAAATAACTAAATAAGAAAAACAATTTATTCTTGGTTATAACTATAAATTGCCCTAAAAAAAGATCAAATTGAAAAAAATCATAAAGGCAAATCGATGAAATAATCAAATTGTTGTTGTTGATTAATAATGATGAAAAATATTAATTAGAAGAAGAAAAAAAACATAACAAAATGGGTGAAGCTAATAAAATAAAAGAAGAAAAAGTAAAAGAAAGAATGAAAAAAAAAAGACCGATCGAGATCGATTGACGACAAATACGTAACCAACAAAAAAAAATGATAATAACAACAATAACACACTGGCAGCAAAGAAAAGAAATAAAATGGACAGCTCAATAAACTCGATATTTTTTTTTTGTTACTCGTTCATAAATGACGTTTCCGAATTTATCAAAAAATTAAAGAATTTTCTTTCAAATTTTATCAGAATTTTTACCAAATGACATATCCTTAGAGAATATTATTCCATCCAGAATGAACGAACAAAAAAAAAAAGATTTCAATAATTTCTTTTGAATGGAAAAAACCCGGACAATTTTTTTATTGGTGGGACAAACATTGATCAGCGAATGAGAAATATTCTTCTTTTTTTTTTGCCAAAAAAAAATGAATTCTGTTAAAAAATTGACAACATGCATGCATGCAATGTTTCGATGATGACATAGTGGAAAAACCCGATTTTGACTATTCCAAAAAATTTCCCCTGGAATACAAAGGTGTGGACCAACGGTTCAGCTTTGTTGCGCTTGTTCCATTTATTGGTTCCAAAATAATATTTGGAAAAATTCATTTCGTGGCGGTACATTTGTCATGTGTCTGACGGTGGTGGTGGTGGTGGTGGTGAGTTCATTGAATTCATTTCGTTTGTATGTGATGCGTGCGTGTGTGTGTTTCAAATGGATCAAACAAAACAGAACAGAACAAACCTACCGCAAACAAAACAACAAAAAAAGATGTGAAATGTGAATCCCTCTCTCTTTCTCACTCACGGTGTTCAATGTTGTTTTTGCAAACAAAAACAAATCAACCACAACACCCAAATGTGTTCAACCAGCAACAACAAAATCAATTCAATGTTTTTCATTTCATCTAATTTCATCAAATGTCTTCAAAAAAAAAATTGATTAATTAATTTCCTTTTTTTTTCATTAAATCTTCCAGATTGATCAAATTAACCAACAAAAAAACAAACGCACAACTCATATATCTTTTGTCCAAACTAAATAACTCCCATCAATACTATCATTATCATCGAATGAATCAATGATCGAATGAATAAATGAATAATGGGTAATATCAATACGGTTGGACCGAATGAAGCATTAATTGTATCAGGTTTGTTCTGTTTTTAAAAGAAAATTTTAATTTTTAAAGTTTTAGAAAAAGAGAGAAATTTTAAGACATAAAATGTTAACAAATATAAAAGAATTGTGCAAAACAAAACAGGAAAATTTTTGTAAATTTTCAAATTAAATAAATAAACAGATAACAAAAAGACAAAAAAGACGAATGCCATGAGCCAGCTCAAAGTTTAATTGATTGATTGATTGATCGATGTTTAGCAGGTAGGTCAGGTGTTTGTGTGTGTACATTTTTTCAAAATTGAATTTTTAATTAACAAATTTATCATCATCCATTGTTGTTGGATATGAATCATCATGATGATAAGCTTCAGAATCATATTTTGGTTCATATTTTGATTCATATTTTGGTTCATAATCATGACCACCACCATAACTTGGTTGATATGATTCTTCATATGATGGATATGATGGATACGATGGATATGATGGCATTTGAATAGCAATATATTCTTTTTTCTTTTTATGACATGGATTGATCATTAAAATTTCACCAGATTTTTTTTTCTTATCACCACCTTTCATAAGTAGTTGTGGTGGACAACCATCTTCACCACCGATTATAACTAAATCACCACCTTTTTCTTTACCACCACCAGCAACAAATGAAACATATACAATAAATATTGTAATAGCGAATAACGAATATTTAATCATTTTTGTTGATTGATTGATTGATTGAATTTTATTTAATCAAAATGGTTAAAACTTTTTTTTGGTTTGAAAAATGTTTCTGGATCAATATTCGAATGTTCATCGACTTTATATACAACAATCGGATTTTTTTGTAAAAAAGGAAAATTAAATCAAAATTTGACAAATGTCTTTTGTGTGTGTGTGTGTCAGTGGATAGAGAAAACAAATATCATATTAAGATGATGACAAATGATAATGGGTTAATGGAACAAGGAAAACAACAACAATAAGTTTAGTCTAGTTAGTTAGTTATCAATTAATTAATTAGTTAATTTTTTTGTAAAATGTTTAGTAGTTATATAATGAATAACCTGAAATGTTGTTCACATCCAATCAATCAATCAATCGATTGATAATGATAAGGTTAAAGTCAAATTAGACAAAAGCATAATAAAAAACTTTAACAAGGATATCATTATATCTACGGGCTCGAACAAACTGTTAATTAGTAATGTTTATATTTACAAGAAAAAGAAATAATTGTTATAACCTTCATTATAAATTTTGTTAATTTTTTCAACCTTTTTTTACAAAAAAAAATAATAATTATAAAATTTGTTTATTATAATTTACAGGTGGATGTTGTAGACCGACGAAAAAAAATTATGTTGTTGGTGGATGGTCATGGTCCTGGTGGCTATTATCCAATGTTCAAACGTAATGATAATTTTATTCAAACTGATTGATTGATTAATTTGATTTTTGTTTTTGGCTTTTTATATAGAATAAGTTTAGAAGTAATGACATTAATGCCTAAATGTGAAAATGTTGAAACATCTGAAGGTGTACAATTAACTGTTTCAGGTGTTGCACAATGTAAAATTAAAAATGAAAAAGAACAATTATCGATTGCTTGTGAACAATTTTTAGGTAAAAATGTTGATTATATTAAAGGTATTCTACAACAAACATTGGAAGGAAATCTGCGTTCAATTCTTGGTACAATGACTGTTGAAGAAATTTATCGTGAAAGAGATCAATTTGCATCATTAGTACGTGAAGTTGCATCATCTGAATTAGAACGTATGGGTATTGAAATATTATCATTTACAATCAAAGATGTTTATGATAATGTAAATTATCTGGAATCATTGGGTAAAGCAAAAATTGCTGAAATTAAACGTAATGCAACGATTGGTGTTGCAAATGCTGAACGTGATGCTGGCATTAAAGAAGCAGAATGTCATAAAGCAGCAATGGATGTAAAATATTCGGCCGATGCAAAAATTGAAGATGCTACCCGACAATATCTAACAGAAAAATCATTGTTCGATGCTGAAGTTAATGCTAAAAAAGTTGAAGCAAAATTATCATATGATTTACGTTCAACATTTCTACAACAGGAAATATCTAAACAACAAAAACTTGTCGAACTAATCGAGCGACAAAAATTGACCGAATTACAGGTTCAGGAAATTATTTTAGCTGAAAATGATCTACATGCTAAAGTGAATTTATTGGCCGATGCTCAATTGTATGAAATACAACAATTAACTGAAGGCAAAAAACGACAAATATTATTGGCTGCTGAAGCAAATGCTGAACGTATAAAATTAATTGGACAAGCAGAATCCGATGCTGCTGAAATACGTGGCCGTGCTGAAGCACATGGAATGTTAACCAAAGCTTCTGCATTAAAACAATTTGGTGAAGCTGCCATATTATCATTAACGTTAGAAAATCTACCAAAGGTAAATATTATTGTTATTGTAAATTTTAAACTAATCAAAAAAAAATAAATTTATTTTTAATTAGATTGCAGCTGAAATATCGGCACCATTATCAAAAACTGATGAAATTGTTTTACTTGGTGGAGAAACGGGTAATTTATCGAAAATTATTTCACAAATTCCGCCAACTGTACATGCATTGACAGGTGTTGATCTATCAAAGGTAACTATCGATATATCATTGGATATTTTCATTTCTACAATAACTTTTTTTTCAAATTTTTTTTTAAAAAAAAAGGTTTTATCCAAAGTACCTGGTGCCCATTGATTTGGCTTTAACAAAAACCCAAAAAAAATTCATTTGTAAACAAAACTAATCATTCATTATTTAAACAGAAAAAATTTTATATCATTTTTTTTCATCTAGTCATCAAAAACATGATCAAAATGTTCAAAACAAAATGATTATTCATTATGATTATATAAGCACAAACAAACAAAATTGTCAATTTTTTTCCCCTTTTTCATCCGAAATAAAATTGTTTATCCGAAAAACAAAACAAACCAGTTTTTTCTGGTAAAGAAAATTTTTTTGTTTTTTTGATTGACATTTATTGCGCAAGTAATGAAAATCAAAATAATATTGAACATTATCATTGTACATTTTGATGAACGACAAACTGGTTCGATGCCATTCACATGATATGAGAATTTTATCGTGAAAAAAATGAAATTTTTTTTTCATTTGACCGATATATATGATTGTCAAATGAAACAAATATTTTCTGGTTATCAAACGAAACAGAAAAAAGAAAGAAAGACATGTGTGTGTGTTTCGAAAACAAAAAAAAATCATTTTTCTTTATTTCATGGATATATTTACATACAATAAGCATTAATAGTTTTTTAATCAAGATGATTAATACCAAAGAATTCTTGTTTGAAAAATAAACAAGAATATCAAACAACCAACAAAAAGAAAGAATTGACAGATTTAAAAAAGAAGAAGAAAAAAGAAAAAAATCTGATGAAAGTCATAATGTGACAACGTTATTTCTAATTGAAAAAAAAATCAATCGAATGATTGATTTAGTATGATTGAAAAATTGATCATCATTCTCAAACTATGATCATTTTTTCACAACAATAATAATCCTTTTTTTTCTACAATAAAGTAATGAGACAATCGTTAAAAGTAATGAAAGAATAGAAGAAGAAAAAAACAATATTTTCAAGGAAGCCATTTTCTAATTCAAAATCGATCATTAATTATATAATGATCAGCTAATTTGGCATTGATCAATTGATTATTATTATTGTTATTATTAGAATTGGAAGCATTTTGTTGCTGTTGCTGTTGTTGTTTATTATCTTTCCAACCGATAATAAAACCTGTTTGACAAAGACGATATTCTTTTAATGATAATTCCATTATTGAATTAAATGTTGTTTCCATTAAATTATCCAAATGTTTCAATAGAAAATGAATATTATTATTATTATTCATCAAGGTAACCATTTCGGAACATAAATGTTTTTCAAACATATTCAATAAATCTTGTTTAGTTTGTCGATGTTTTATTTTCAATTCGAATAATGTTGGTGGTAAATGTGGTTGTTCATATATATATGATATCATACGTTCTTCATAATATTTAATAAAATCATTGATTACAACGGCTGCATCCATTATAATGTTTGTTGATGAATCAATATTATTACCATTATTACCATTCGATGTTTGTAACAGGTGATGATTATCATTTGGCTGTTTTGGTTGTTGTTGTTCATGATTACCATCATTCATCATTGTCATTATTCTTGTATTCGTAATGGATGGTTGATGATGATAACTACTGTTACTACGATTAATTATCATTATTGATTTATGTTGTTTTTGTTTCTTTGAAGAGAGAATATTCAGCCAACCAACCAAAAAAATAATACGTTTCAACAATCGATTTTACTCAATGAAGAACAAAACGAGGAAAAAAAATCGATTGTAAATGATCGAAACAATCGTTTGTTTGAAACAAAAAGTACAAATACAATAATAATATTGATTCAAATTGTTTGTTTGAATAGTTTTTTTTGTTTTCACATTTGATAATAACCAAACACGTTTAACGACAACGACAATCTGGCAAAATTATTATTATTATTTTGATGATGATAATATGAACGTCGTCATATGGTTGTCTTTTGTTATTGATGTTTGATGTTTGATGGTGTAGTGTAGTCGTTTTGGTCGTATAAATGTTGTTAAAACAACGTTAACAACGTTGAAGAAAAAAAATAAATAAATATTCAGCTGGAGTCTATATGAGTTTGAAAACATTTTATATATAGTCGAACATTGTCGAACCAAAAAAAACAAACTAAAACATTTTTATCATTCATCAACGTAACCGTATTGCGATTATCTTCTTCTATATATAGAATAATTTATTGAAAACTGCTGTTGCTGCTAGTTTCTTTTTTCTTCTTCAACACTTGTTTACAACAGTTTAATAATCAAAGATTCTCGAATTACTTTGAATGTCCAAAACTTGTTGGAAAAAAATCATCATTATAACGTGTGTTTTTTTAATAAATCCTTATTATCCACCTTTATATGTTTAGGTTTTTAATGTTTATAAATACACATTATACATATACACTATTTGAAACATTGTAATATAAAATATAAAAGTTTTTCGCAATTAAAAATTATTTTCAAAAAAAACAAAGAATTTCGTCACCAATTTTCTTTGTATGATTTCTTTATAATTTTATTATCTTGGCAGCAACGAAAAAAAGACATAATTCCCATTTCAAAGTGTGTAGGTGTTTGGATCATAATTCTTTAAGAAAAAAAAATGAACATTTAGTAGAAAAAAGTTAACGCGAATCGGGCGTATTTACGTCAAGAACACTACCCAACAACAATCGACAACTTCAAAAAACAATGCTACTACATTATCATTGAATTCAAACAAGAATGAATGAATGTAACCAAAAAGGAATTTGCAATAGAATCATTTGCATTGTTGAAATAATAAACCTACAATATTGTTTCCATCAATGATAATTATCATCATTCATTAATTTGATGCATGTATATGATGAATCAACTTCATCAAGTCATATGATCGAATCGGTTTTTTTTTATTTTAAAGTCACGTCGACAAGTGGATAAGTTGTCTGTGTGTCTATATGTTTGTCTGTGAATAAAGTGTTTGTTGAATATATCATCACACATATACATTGCTGCTGCTGCTGCTGAAATGCATAGCAAATTTTGCATCATCAATTTTAATTAACCATCATCATCATCATCAAAGACGTATCATTCATTCATTCATTCATTCATCAAATAATCAATTCGGTTTTTTTTCTCCCTCTTCGTCTTCTCGCATCAACTAACGGACAGGAAAAAAAATCGATAATCATCATTCGAAGTTTTTAAAAAAACAATCACATCTTTTATTTTTATTTTTTTTAACAATTCGAATATCATTGAACTATTCCCATCGATTAATTGATTTTGATTTTGTGATCAATCGATCCCAAAAATAACTTTCATTTTCTTCGATCGATCGATTTGTCTGAAATTGATAAACAATTTGAATCGTTTTGAATTGAAAATAAAAAACATAAACAAAAAATTTTTTTTTGTCGTGTGTCCGATCATATTTGTGATGATGATATAAACGTGTGTGTTTGTGTTTGACAAGTGAACTTTGATATATCTATAGTTTTCGATTGATATACCCAAGTTTTTGGTTGATATTTTGTACTCATAATTCATTGATTTGATTGATAAAAAAAACCAACCTTGTGATCCTGTGTGTGTGAGCTCCTTTTTTTTCTTCAAACAAAATTACTTATCGTTGAATCAACAAAAAAAAAGAAAGAATCTTTCGTTGAACCAAAACAAACAGAAAAAAATGGAATCAAAATCGATTGAAAACAATGGTGTTTCGGCTACTGGTGGTGCTGGTGATGATATTGAACCAAAAATCGAAAAAAAAGATGTTAATAATGATACTGAAGCAGGATTTCCTGCATTTCGTTTTCCATCTGGTTTTGAACAACAAATTGGAATGTTAAGTTCAATGATGCAACAAAATCATGGATTATTTGATCAATTGATTGGTAAACAAAATCAATCAAAACGAGATACAAATAATAATGATTCAACATCATCAGCTGATAAAGGATCAACAAAATCCAATGATCCATTTTCATCACCTGATATGGCTGGAAAAATGTTTGAACAATCAATGGGTATGATTAATTCAATGTTTCGTGATGGTCAAGGTGGTGCAGATATGTTTGGAAAATTTTTTGGACAACGTTCACCGGCTAGTGCTGCTGCTACTGCTGATGATCAACCAGTTCCAAATGTTTATCCAAAATTAGATGATATGGATGATACAAAACAACGACAACAACAACAACCACCACAATCAAAAGGACATCAACAAGGTCAAATCGATATTGAGCAACTACTTGCTCAAGGTATTAATAGTCTTGGTTTAAAAATTAATGATCGAAATGCTGGTGATTTATTGGGACAATTATTAGGTCAGACTAAAAAACAACAACAACAACCATCACAACCAACATCCGAATCCGAAGCAAGACATTTTTATCCTAAATTAGATGATTTAGATATTGATAATAAACCGAAACAACAGCCACGACCATCATCACCACCACGATCATCTTCAAATCAACCAACAAGTCCAATTAATTTAGATAATGTAATTAATCAAGGTATCGATGTTATTGGAACTGCTTTGAAAGGCAATGCTGGTAGTATTTTTGGTTCATTACTGAAAAATTCAATTTCAACTAAAAATAACAGTAGCCAACATTCTTATAATGTACCTGAACAGCCACGATCATCATCACAAACGATTCCGGAACAACCGAAATCAAATCAACCATTCAAACAGGTGGATGTTGAATTTCCGGATGATGTTCGTTCTGGTTCGACTAATCCTATACCATCAGCACCACCATCACGACAGATGCCCGAACCAATAAAACCATCATCCGAACCGATACGAAAAAAATTGGAACCCGAAGAAGAAGTAGAAGAAGAAAATGATGAAAAATCAAAAACTAAAAAAGACAGCGAAAAAATTCTTGATTTTATACCCGATGATGCATTCGAAGCTGCATTTGATGCTATGGCATTTGGTAAAAAATAAAATTTCAATTCAAAAATCAATGGCGATATACAACTATTTACGAAATCTTATAATCTTTGATTAATTTTGTTTCTGTTACTGCTTCTGTTTTTGCTTATGTTTATTGTTTTCATTAATGATTTTTTAACCCTGGTTAGATCCTTTAACAACAATAGAAATTAATTTTGTCAATCTGAAATCTTTTTATTTTAACAGAAAAATTTGTTGAAAAATGAATAAAGAAATTAATTTCAACTCGAATCATTTAAAATCAAAAAAAAGTATTTCAATGATAAATTAATCAATGGAATCAACGTGATTTGAAATGTTTGGTAAACAAACAAAAGTGAATATATATGAAATTATAATCAATATGAAAGTATTAAGTTTTTGTTAAGGATGAAAAATCAAATCATAATCTTTTAAATAATCTTTCAATTTTTCAAATGTAATTGCTGATAATTGTGGTTTATCAACAAAAGATGGTGCTGATTTGTTTGTTGACGCATTTTCCATCATTTCAAAAAAATCTTTTCGTTGTTTTTCGACATACAAAATAAACTGTTCCAATTTATCGAAAATTAAATCAATAGCAATTTGAGCGTTGGAACTTGATTCGAATAATTTTTTAAGAGAACCGATTCCATACCAATGTCTTACAATTTGAACAAAAGCTTCAAAATAAGGTTGTTTTTGTTGCTGGCAAAGGAAAGATAAACAAACGATTATAATTCTTGGATCAAATGTTTCAATTTCACATAATTTTGAAATCAATTTAGCATTGCGTAAATAAGAAAGCGTTTGATCCTCATTAATATCATGAATGAAAAATGATGAACGACATTTTGAGCTTAATAGTTGTCCAAACGTTATAGTATCGAAAATTGAATCGGTTTCATCTTCGGGAACTCCGATCTCATCAAATAACTCACTACAAATAGATAAAATAGTATCATACTGGCCACCAATGTCCCGTGTAGAATGACATTTGTAATAAACACATTCGACCAACAGAAGTAAATCTTTTTTAGAGTTGATTGTTAAATTTCTTATCTGATTCAATTTTTCATCCTTTATCCAAGGAAAAGTATCGCTAAAAATTTTATGCAATGATTGATGAAAATCATCAATATTGTTATCTTCCGGTTGTTGGAAATAATTCTGGATCTTCTCATTGTTGAAACGAAGGTCAAGACGTTTATCAAGTTCGGGATTAAAATTGAACCATTGACGCCATTCATTATAAATGTAAAATTCATCACCTTCGTTGAAAAAAACATCAAATTTCACACAATCAAACGGCATAACTTGTGATGAAATTGGCGACTTAGGATTTTCGATCGAACATTTTGATGATTTATGAGTATTGGTGCCGTCATCACCATCGATAGGACAAGCACTAGGTGAAGGATCAATGTCATCATAATCATTGATATCATTATTATCATTCAATTTGCTAGTAGATGATGATCTTGATGATTCGGATTGAACAAGCGATTGACTGGATAATGATGTGGATAGTTGATACTATAAAATGTCATTTTAATAAAAAAATAAACAATGTAATCAATTATTTACACATTCGAAAAAATTATATTTACTGCATAATTATAACGAGTTATGTCAGAATGTTCAATGAAATTAGATTTGTCCTTTTGGCATGAAAATAAACAAAAAATAATTATAATTCAATCTTATATTTAAATAAAATTACCATTTTTTTCGGTTCTTCATCATATCGAAATGAATCTTTAACAATTTGATTTAATTTTTTTTCTTCTTTTTGATTTTGTTTAAGTTCCAAAACTTTTTCAGTAATTGATTTCATTTTCATAAAACAATTTGATATTTCATTAAGCAATGAATCGATTTTAAATGATGATAAATGTTGTTGTTGTTGTTGTTGAAAAATCGATTTTAATTCTTTATGTTTTTCTTCGATAAACAAAAGTACATTTAATCGTGATTCTAATGAATTTATCGACAAACGATACAATAGATCTTCTTCTACATCTGTACCTAATGTTTCGATGTATAATTTATGAGTCATCAAAATTGGATTATCCATTTGCAAAAAAAACGAAAATAGTTTTTTTATTTGAGTAAATAAAAATGTAAAAATACTCACAAACAAAAAATTCGGAAAAAAACATAAACAATTTGTGAGCCTGTTTTCCGTTCAACTATTTTCACACAAATCGTAACATTATTGCAAAATAGTTATTTTTTTTGTAAATTATCAATCGTAATTATTATTTGATAATGAATTTTATAAAAAAAAATGAATTCATGAATAACTTTTTAGTGGATTGATTATTAAATAATTAATTTAGTCGTTCACACACAACAACAAGTATTCTAATCCCATATGTCAGACCATTAAATAAAAATAAATGATTATAATTAAAATATTAATTATGAAAAAGTATGAATGAATGAATTTCAAAGGAATTCGTTTTTATCGTTCGTTTGATTTTAACTTCACGAATATATTTCGATACACTTTTGAAAGTTCATCAACCAATGATGAGATCGCAAACATGATGAGATGATAATGATTGATTATTTTTTTATTTTTTTATTTTTTGATTTAAACTTGTAATTCTGGATCATTTTCAAATACATCGATCAATTCCAATGCTAATGTCATAAATGATTTTGGTGGCTTATTATAATCCAAACCATTGGGTGGTTGAATTGAATCACAACGATTTGTATCTTCAGTATAATCACCACAAGCCATATTCATTGAATTTGTACTGACATGTGTAAATTGACGTTGTAATGTTTCAATATTTTGTTCCGTACATTGATCAACTTCTTTGGCTTCATCTAAGAAACAATTTTTTGCACGTAAAACTTCACTGTGTTTATAATTAGAATTAGATTGATATATTCATTATTTTAAAAAAAAGAAAAAAGAATGGATAAATCTTACCAACAAATTAATGGAATTCTTTTTTTACTTGGTAAATCTTTTACCGTTTGTATATGAACTTGTGCACGTTGTACACATTTACCGAAACGATTACCACCACTATTTACACATTTTGCTGCATCCATTAATGCTAATGTTGCTTTATTTGGTTTATTTTTACACATTGATTTACGTGATCGTCGTACAGAATAAACGGCTACTTGCATAATATTTTTAGTAAAACCGGTCATACATTTATCAGCTAATTTTGTCATCAATTCGATTACTTTTTTATTTCGTCTATATATAAATTACAAATAAATTCATTTCGAAAGAATTGAATCGCACAAACAAACAAACACACACAAAAACTTACCCACAATGTTCTTTTAATTCTTTAAATGTTTCGGGAAAATGTTGTTCACCATTTATAAATTCCATTGAACGTAAATGTTTATCCATTTCAGTCAAAACATCTTTATGACAATCAAGTGAATTATTTTTAAATCCACATTGTACAATGACCATATAGGAAAATATGGCCATTATGGATAAAAAATATGATTTCTGTTGGAACATCATTTTGCTGTAGTTCATTAGTTTTGTTTAACTTCGAATCATTTGACATCAAAATCATTCAAATCAAATCCTTTTTTATATAAATTTTGAAGAAGAAAAAAAAATTTTATTTTTAGTATTTTCAAACAAACAAACGAAAGTAACTTTACATTACACCATTGATCACTTATTTTATTTTTTATTTTTTCTTCTAATCTAACCATGATCATCCATCCTTTTTCTTTGTCCTCATCTAAACTCAACTCTTTCTTTGGTTTGGTTAGTTGTTGTTGTTTTTTTTCGAAGGGAAAAAACAACAAATTTTCCATTATTAGCCATGGCAATGGATTTAATGTTTTTTTCTTTTCTTTTCAACAACAACAAGTAAATTCATTTTGAAATCATGAAGGTCATTATGATCATAATCATCAAACATTATCAATAAAATCGGGTTTTATTCGAATCAACACAAAAAACCAAGAAGTTTTTCTTTTTTTTCCCGTTGACGACATAATCATGTGATTAATAAAATTCTTTTCAAAGGATGATTAAATTCTTGTCTTCACTTGACAACAAGCGATTCGTATTGTTTTTAAAGTTTTTCAGGTTTTCGATTGGATAAACATGAGTTTAAATATTACTTCATGTTATGTCACATATAATGTAATCATCATGTATTATTGATGATGATGATGATCAAATAATCGATATTTTCGATCGTTTTTTTCCCTGTTGGCCATTATTATTATGATGACCATGATGACCATGATGGTAATTTTTGATGATTTTTTGTTTCGATCATGATCATCCTGTTGATCATAATCATCATCAAGTACAATAACAATGAAGAAAAAAAATGTCTAATAAAATTTACCAATGAGTTTCATGGTCATATTGTTTATTGGATTTTTTTTTCTCGAACAAAAAAAACAAAATTGTGGACATAAAAATCCTTTCTTTTTCATATAATCGAAAATATGAAATTTTTGTTGTTGTTGTGTGGACATTTTTTGTTTTCAATGTGTTTTCCGATTGTCTAGGTACATATATGACGATGATATTCTCTATAGGACAAATTAATGATTATATAATTGGTTATATGTGATGGTTGGTTGATTGATTGATTGTTTTATCACAAAATCATGAAAAAGATTTAAAGAATTTTTTTTTTGAAATAATTAAAAAATAGCGATAACAACAACAACAACAGAAGGGACAATCTTGTTTGTTTTGATGTAATTATTATTATGTACATTTGGTCAGGCCAAAAATCAAAATCAATGAAATTCAAAGGAAAAATATTCCTTTCTATGAGAGGAGATTATTGATTTTGAATTTGGGTTTTTATTTTATTTTTTCGTTTATAATTTTATTATTATTATTAAAAAAACATCCTTTCTATAAATATGTTATTATTTATTTATTGCTAATATATTTGGACAATATTTGATGATGATAATAATAATGATTAAAATAAATCACCAAACTTGGCACTTATTTCTTGGATTCATTGGTGTTTCAGGTGGACAATAAAAATCTCTAGCAAAATATTCAGAATTTGATACAACACCATTCAGACGATATTTTCCCGGTGAATGTGTATCAACTTCTAATGTTAATTTTAACATTTCATTTGTCATTTTTTCACAATTTTCTAAACCATAACTAATCCAAAATAATTGTCTTGGATTATAATTTGATAAACCGGGTAATAATTGTTCATGATCTTGACGTATATTATTTGTATAACGATTATTACCGAAAAATCCACCACCACCACCATCATTACCGGTAAAATAAGAACGTATATAAGCTCTATATGCAAGTGTTACACCAATATTATCGGCTATATTTTCATCTTTTGTTTGTTCACCATTAACATTGGTTTCAATTTCTTCAAAATAATACTGATTATATTGTTTAACCATACATTGTGCACGTTGATTATAATGTTCATTGGTTGATGATAGCCACCAATTTTTTAATTGTCCAGTTTTATCAAATTGTTTTCCAATCGAATCAAAACCATGTGTTATTTCATGACCAATAATTTCACCGATTGATCCATAATTTAAATAGCTGAAAAGAAAAATAGATTACAGAATTAATCGATATTCATATATGTCAGTTACTTACTTTGGTCGATCAGGATTAAAAAATCTATCCTGTAATATACCAGCATTTAGTATAAATGAATTTTCCTGATGAAAATAATAGGCATTTACATCGACAACTTCAGAATATTTTCGCCAACTAATAAATGATAATAACAATGGTAAATTTCCATAAACAATTAATTATAATCACTTACTCATCACGTGAATTAATTTCATCTAAACTTTGAAATGCACTTTCTACTTCAAATTTATCAACAGCAATTACATTACCAAAATAATCATCCGTCATTGTAAGCTATTTTATAAATGTCAAAACGATATATTAAAAGGTTAATATATTGAATGGTAGCATTTAACAAAAAACCTTACATTTTCATAAAAATCCGAAACCAATTCATCATCAATTAATTCATCGGGATATCCTACACGGAAATTCATTAAATTAAGTTTATCCATTGCATGTTTTCGTGTTTCCTTATCCATCCAATTTGCATTAGCAATTGTTTCATTTAATTCGGAACGAATTTGCCAAACAATTTCATTGATTTTAGTTTTTTCTTTGATTGAAAAATAATTTTTTACATAAACATTTGATAATGCTGTACCGAATGTTGAATGTGTATGTGCAACACATTCCATCCATCTTGGTTCAATTTTTGGATGACCCAGATTGATTGAATTATATGTTTGTTTCAAACGACGCCATGTTGAATCTAACATTCCAATTTTACTTTTAACAACACGCCAAACAATATAATTGGCTAATAAACGTTTTGATGTTTTTGGTATTATATCATTTAAAAATTTTACATAATTCAAATCTATAACAACAATTTCTCTATCCAAGGTCATTGGTTTTTCTTTATCCATTATAAACGTATTGATCAATTCAAGCCATTCAATCTATTGTGAATATATTAATAAAAAATGATATTGAAGATCAATGATTAAATCATCATCATCATCATTCTATTCATATTGACCGATCGATCAATGTCAATCAATCAATCAATCAATCGATTAAGGTTATACAGACATAGACACTTACATTTGGTGAAATTTTTTGCAATTGTTCAATGGTCATATTGTTAAATAATTGGCTAACATTTCCTCGATCTTCTTTTTTGATTGAACTCTGAGAAAAAAAATTTTTTTTTCCCATTGAGAAAAAAAAATGAAAAGATTAGATTCAAAAAAAAAGATTATGTCATTTTAAAATGCTTACATTAGCTAATAATTGTTCAAAATGTAATACTTGACGCATTTCATCAATAACTTTTTCAGGTAATTTTTCATGATCATACATTTCGAATGCAAATTCTCTTGCAATTTGTTTACGTCGTAAATAATTTTGTTGTTGTTGTTGATGATAATGTTGATTTAGATTTGGTTTCATAATTCGGATTGTTGAATTTTTTGATTCATCATCATCGCCATCATCGTTTTCATCATCTTCATCTTCTTCTTCATGGTCAGCATCCAATTGAAATTGTTCATCTTCCAATAATAATTCAACACTATATAACATAAGATCAAAATATGATCGTATATGTGTATGATTTTCATTTTTAATCATAAATTCTCTATTCATTAGACCAAAACTTGGTTCTTTTATCTATGGAAAAAAGAAGGAATTTCATAATTTTTTGAAAATGCTAACTGATTTTCTTTAATCAGTAAAAACTTACAGCTAAAACATTACGTGAATTATTACGATCATATGATGTTATTATTAATGGTATTAACATATCATCAATAACACCTAATTCATTTAATTTACGATGTATATCCAATAATGACCAATTATTTTCATTCCATTTTTTTTGTTTTGTAGAATTATTATTATTAGTTTCAGAATCGTTGTTGTTGTTGTTGTTATTGTTTTCAAAACGTACATCCAATACTGGCCAACCACCTAATTTATCAATAATTTTGATCAATGGTCGTGCACCTTTACGTTCTAATTCGGTTACATTCATACAACTGTGATAGAATTGTTTCATATTTTGTACAAAATCTGGATCATCTTTTGTTATTGGTTCTTCCAATATAGCTTTTTTATCCGACGACGAAACACGGAAATAAAAATCAAATTAGTGAATAAATTAAGCAAAATAAGAAAGAAAGAGAAAAAAAGAAAAGAAATTATCCTCAAACATTTATTTATCTAATAAATAACATTGACCTCGAATGTATATTTAAGTATATTTAGTCGTCAAACAGGAACGACACTTGTTTATTATTATTATTTTGACATCATTAGTTTTCATTAAATTTCTTCATTTTTTGTTTTTGTTTTTGTTTTTTACCATCATAATTGATGATGTGAAAATACTAACCTCGAACTTGTCGATTAAGGATATCATGTAGTTCATCGAATTTATTTTCCAATGGTTTATGTTCCGGTATAACAGTTGATTCAAGCCATTGACCACAAACAAATTGATAAAAATCTTCACATGGTTCAACTGTTTCATCTAATGATCGAATAATTTTGGCCGCTTTTTTGTTTACAACAAAAAAAAAAAGTATTATAATAATGATCAATTTGCAGCAACAAAATTAAACAGTAATGAAAATCAAATTGATTAACATACCTTCACGTATACAAGTATGTGTTAGACAAACATTATCCTGTTGTGAATGTTTAGCAAAACACATTGATGATAATATCATTAATAATATAATTATACCGGACATAATTAATAGGGCACCGATTGTTAAATGATTAGCAATCATATGTGTTAATTTTGACCAACCAAAATCATTGTTATTGTTAATTTGTTGTTTATGTGATGATGTTGAATGTGAATGATTATGATGATGATTATGATGATTATGATGATGGTGATGATTTGGATGTGACATTTTCTTTGAAATATTTTTTGTATCACAATTTGTTGTATGATCATGACAACAGGTACCCGAACAATAACAAATATCATCATCGAAATTAAATTTTGATGATGATATACATGATATCGATGGTGATGAACGATTTTGGTCATTTAATAATGATGGACCATTTTGTTTTTGTTGTTGTTGTTGATTCTTATTCATATTTATCATCTGATTTTGATTATTTAATAATGATGGTGAGGATGTTGTTGCCGATGAAGATGATGATGATGATGATGATGATGATGATACTGATGATAAAACAGTTGTCACAGCAACAGGAATTGTAAATGGTAATGCTGTATTGACATTTGTTGAATAATTATATATTTGTTGTAGATTTTTATATTCAACTTCATTATTATTGTCAATAATATTGGATTGATTAATATCATTTAAATGAATTGATGGCGATGATGGTGATGATAATGATGGTTTTGGTGATTTAGATGACGTAGATTGAATAACATCCATTTTTTCAGTTTTTGTTGTTGGTCGAATTAATCAATCAATCAATCGAACGAGGAGAGAGAGAGAAAGAGAGAAAAAAATCCTAAACGAAAGAAACAAATGTCAGTTGAATAAATAGAATCAAAATTCCATTGAATTCGTTTTTTTTTTGCAATATCAAATATTTGATAATCGAGCAACAATTATGATGAAAAATGGAGAACAAAACAAAAAAAGATTTTTTGATCGATTATTGTCGATAATCAAAATGATTGTAGATCAAGAATTGGACAAAATCAATGATAAATTGCAATCAAAAGCCAAGATTTTATTCAATGATTTTGAAGAAAAAAATGTTTTAAATGTCAAAATAAAATGTTTGGAATTTTCGTTTGTTTGTTTTCATTCACAACACAATTTATCATCATCACCAAATCAGAATTGTTTCGACATTCATTCACAAACACACAGACAAAATATCGATAAAGATGAAAATTCAAAGAATCAAATCAAGTATGAATCATGTTTGAAGGAAACAAAAAAATTCATTCGATTTGAAAAATTTTTCAATGGACAACAACAACATTGACAATTTCAACCAAAAAAAAAATGAAGTGAAAAATGAAAAATATTCAAATTTTCTCATTCAATGATTGATTTGAAATATTTTTGGAAAACAAAAAAAAATTTCTTACAATATCGAAGCTGTCATATCTTCATCATCAACATTCAACATTTAGCAATAGCCAAAAACAAAATGAATTGTAATGGATCGATTCTTTAAATATTTGACAAAACAATGATGAACCAATCAAATAAAGAAAAATTCATAGAATCTATTGATGATGATAAATAATTCAATTATGTTTGACACATTTTCTGTTTTTTGTTTCTTAAAATATACATTCTTTATATTTGTGACAGTTTTTTTTCTTCACTCATTATTCAAAGAAATTTTGCAGACAAAAAAAAAGTTTCTTTTCGTATTTGGAAGGGGGTAAATGAAGGATGGTTAAAATAAATAAGACACATCACACACACATCACAGACATTGGATTGTCATTTGAAGAAATAAAATGATTATCGAATCGAATATATTTGGGAAAAAAACAGAGAAAGAGAAAGTGTTTGTGAATAATTTTGTTGCAAAAAAAAGAGATCGAAATATTTAATGATGATGTCGATGATGAAGCCAATTTCCAAATGAAAAGATCAAAATGAAGAGAGAAGAAATGTCATAAGAGTGGATCAACAACAACAACAACCAAAACAAAACAAAGAGGAAATAAATTTTTTTTTTTGAATCAAGAAAAAATTTTCATCAACAACAAGAAAAAGATTGACAAGCTTGTCAAATTAAATATAAATAAACAAAATGATTGGATAACTTTTTTATTAATTTTTGGTGTTTCTGGCGAAGAAAAAAGACGAAGAAGAACGAAAATTCAAAATGATAGGCAGTAAATGAAATGAAATTCAAACGAATTTATTATTATTGGATTAATGTCAAGTTTCATATGGATCCATCAATTCAAGTGTCATCGATCAATCGATTGATCGATGATATTTTTCGTAGAAAAAAAAACTTTATTCAAATATAGTTTGCTGGTTGTTGTCACTGCACTCAAACAAATCGTCTCTGTCTCTGTGTTTGTGATACATTTTTTCATTTTCATTTCCATTCAATCAACGAAAACAACAACAAAATGATCCATTTGAAATTGTCTTGTTTGTCATTATTATATGGATTGAATAGTTTCAAGAATATTCTTGAAGTCAAATGAAAAAAAATAACCCCGAAAAAAAAGAGGTGTGGTGGTATAGTTTTTCGTTTTTATTTATATGACACTTCATTATTCATTTGATTGGACTGTCATGAAAATGAATGAATGAATGAATGAAACGCAATTTAGGGCTTGACTAAAAATGCGATTTTTTTCTGTTCTTGCTTCAGGAGGGGTTAAATCATGATATACACATATCATTGAATAATAATCATCATCATTAGCCTAAACATATATACATTGAGGAAAATTATTTGGCCAAAACAAAAAAAAAACACACATTGGCAATATGAAAAATTCATTTTTTCGACAAAAAAAAAACACTGATTCTGAATGAATATTTTTGTAGGGAAATTAAAGAAAAAAAAATCAAAGCTTTTTATAAAGAATTTCGTAGGAATAAAACTATCAACCTGAGAGAGAAACATACAGAGAATGAATATGTTGAATTGAATAGAATTCCTGGAATATAGAAAACCAAAAAAACTAGAAAAACAACACCGAAAGAATTTAAATATAAAGCAGGAACAAAAAACACGAAAAAAAAAACCTGTTAAATTATTTATGAAACAACCTGAACCATACATACATAGACAAACACATATATGATGATGAATGATGATGATAATGGAAAACTATAGTAGGAGAATTGAAATTCTGATTCTGTAAAGAAAAAAAATCTATAGTAATGTGTATGACACATTTATTCATAATGACCGAATCATATAAAAATGAAAATGAAAATCATTTAGTTTGAAAAATGGGAAAAACATTCGTCCATTTTTGTTATTTCGAAAAAAAGGTATTTTTTGCAATTGCAAAGCCACCAAAACAACAACATTGCAAAATTTCATTTTGAAAACTTTCAATGAAATTCTTTTCATTTGAATTTTGGCTAGTGTTTTATATAAACATTGAAAATGAATCTCAAATAACATACCTTTAGTCGTTGTTGTTGTTGTTGTATGAGGTAAATATGTTTAAATTCAAAAAAAAATGATCACCAATAATCACAGAACATTTTTCTTGTTGATTAAGATTTGAAAGAGTTGAAGAAAAACAAAAATTTTTCTAATTAAAAGGAGGAAATGAAATTTTTTGATGGTTACCAGCCATGAAAAAAAAACAAACATCACATTTCTTCATCAAAATGTTTGTTCCTAATGACAATTTGAATCAATTAAATTCAATACAATCGATATTAATCGATCATTTTGATGCCGAATGAAGGGAGAAACAGTTAATTATTGAATCATCATCATCATCAGAAGAATTTTGATTGATTTTCTGGTACATTCATGTAGAACCTGTACAAAATATAGGTACAAAGCAAAAAAAGAAAAGAAATCAAATGTTTTTTGGGTAATTATCATTCACTTTTACACACAAAAACATAATCATCATTAAATAAAAAATTATTGATTCGAACGAGCATTGCAAAAAAAATCGAAACAAAAAACAATGCAATTCAATCATTGATGCTTGTTTGTTTGGAAATTAGACTGATTTCAATTAATCAGCCTAATTGATTGATTGATTGATTTATCATCTGAAATTTCAACCACAAATAAAATATGATTATGATAACATTTTTATCAACAAATCAAATGATTATGAATGAATTTTGTTTATAATTTTGTTGTCTAAAACGATACATTTTAATGCGATTGAAATATTCATGTTTTGACATCATCCAAAATTGGAAAAACATCTTTTCGATGTTTACAAAGTTCATCTAACTCATTTTATGATGATGATGATGATGATGATTTCATTACTGGAGAAACAAAAAAAAACGAACATAAATTTTCAACTGGAGAAAAGAAAATATTAAATCCAGTTCTTCTGTGCAACAACGACAAAAAAAATACTCAAAAAAAAAACAAGAATTACAAGACGAAAATGGCGATTTCGATAAATTGAACCTGATGTCAAATCGGTCAAATAATTCTGATTACTGAAGATTTTTTTCCATAATAATAATCATCATGAAGAAAATTTTCGCGTTTCACTCACCATCATGATCAACAGAAAATTCAAACGAAAGTAGAAAAAAAAATGATTTATTTCAATCATAAAATCATTTTTTTTATAGATCATTTCAAAATCATAAAATGCAATAATAATAAAAAAATGTGACAGACGAAAAATTCAACAAAAAAAAAACCCTTGTGAAAAAAAACATTCGGATAAAAATTAAAAGTCATCACCTACCTATGCTGGTTGTTTTTTTGTTTTTTGTTTTCATTGAATGCATCAAACACACATCAGTCATTGCATTGAATTCAGGAATCCTGGTAACGACACACACACACACATTCTTTCATCAATTCTAAAGAATTGTTATCATTTATGAATCGTAATCAGCAGTAAAATAAGCACGAAAGTTTCTTTTTGTTTTTCAAATGTTTTTATATCGATAATAAAAAAAAACACTAAATAATTATCTACAGAAACCGCACACACACAATAAAATAATAATCATAAACATCATTCATTCTTTCATCAGAATTATTCATACAGTGTGCATATTCGTCTGTTTTCATTTTATTTTGAAATCTTTTTTTGGTTCTTTCCAAATTTTCTTCGTCTTTTCTAATAGGATTCCTCGAACAGAAGCAGAAGAAATGTTTACTTTTTTCATTTTGAATATAATTAAAAAAAAGTATGCACTTAAAAAAAGAAAAAAGGAAAAGAAAAGAATCCGCTGTCCTTGTGATTTGATTCATCATTAAAAAAAAAATCTCGGTGCATCCGTTAATGATGATAACAGGTTTCTTTTCTCCTTTCTCTGTTAAGCCAAGAAAATTCAAAAATAAATTGAATTATTCCAATCCTTTCGTTTTTTTCATCGTTTCGTTTGGTGATAATCAATAGCAGCCAGAAAAAAAACCATAAAAGAATTATCAGGAAATTTTTTTCCATTTCGCTTTTGTATCTGTTATGATGAAATGCAATCTGTTATTTTTGTTAATCAACACTTTGTATGACATCAATGATGATGATCATCATCATCATTACCGTCATCATTATCAACAAAAAAAAGCAGCTGTCGTTATATGGGGATAAATCGATGATCGATGTATCAGGTACAACATAATTAATTTAATTTCAAAATTTTTTTTTTTATTCATAATTTGATTATAATCATCATTATTGATTGATTGAATGAATTTAAGTACAACAAGTCATCATTTTTTTTGAAAATAAAAACAAAATTTCAAATTCAAAATTCAAATTTTAAATTTTTTTTTTGTTGCCAATTTTTTTTCCACACACCATCTATCGTTGATGATTTAAACTTGTTGAAAATGGACGACACCGATTATATGGTTTTCTTTGTTTTGGATAAATTTTTTGAATAAATTGAAATTTTTGCCGTATCAATTCCCAACTATAACGTATACGTGATATTAGATCAGCAAATACATCATAAAATTGTATAATTGATAAACCTAACCAAATATGTGCATGACCACCAAGACAACCAATTAATTCAAAAAAATTTATTTCACCTTCATGTTCAACTTCACGATACATTTCACGATTTGGCCATATTATTATCATTGATTTGGTTTGTTTTTTATTAACATTTGCTGTTTCGATTGAATTATCCCGTGAATTAAAACCAGTAGCAAAAAAACGTTCATCAATTAAAAATGGTCCAACAGCACTGGTAAAAATTTTACCATCATCATTATCATTATCATCATCATCATCAATAATTGATACATCGATAGTTGTTTTATAATTTTCTTCAATACAATCCGGATGACAATCTTTATAACATTGGCTACGAATTTTTGTAAAATTTACATAGCTTAAATAATTACGTGATGTACAGAATTTTGCATTCATTGTATCCAATTTTCCTTCGAAATAATTTAACATATAACTACTAATAACATTATGATAATAAATACATTTTTGTTGTTGTTGTTGATCATTTTTATTGTTTAAACTTTCACGTAATATGCATAGATTTACACATTCATTTCTTGATCGTGGGGCTAAAATAGAAATTCGATTAAAATCAATAACATTGAAAATGAACTTACTGTTTATTTCAGATTGTCGATCAAATGGATTATATTTTGTACAATTTGTACGATATGGTTCTTCTTTCAATTTTGTAACTTCTTTTGTAAATTGTATTTCATATAAATTATTTGGATCAATACGATAAAATTCTGTATCCAACATTGTTGGCAATAAATTCGGTGGATGTATAGCGATAATAATATCAGCATTTTGTAATGTATTATCATGTAATGTTGAACCAATCGATACGGATGTTGGAAAATTTAATTCAACATTAATATATGCTGTATAACGATCATTATTATCAATCATTTTATCATTATAATTATTATTATCATCATCACCAAAATTTTTATCATTCAATGTTGATAAATATGTAAAACATTTTCGACCATTATAAATTGATGATAATATTGGTCTTGTATCGGAACATTTTGTTAACATATTTTCTTTTGAATCCATTACAACCGTACATGATTTTATTAATTTTGTTGAATTATAACTTATTTGTTCAATAATTTCTTTTACCGTATATTGTTTTAATAATTTCATTTCACGATCGGATATTTTTTCAGCCGTATCATTTTGTATAATTTGTTCAATACAACATCCACATATTGTAAATGCTGGAAATTGTATCTTTTCAGGTGCCTGATATTTAACCATAACAATTGTTTCATAACGAAGATATCGTCCAATCAATGAACGTGAATTATATAGAAATAAATATGCACAAACAGTATAAATAATAATTCGTGGTATATAATTTATATATTTTATCAATCTTTTATAAGTTTTATGTTTATTTTTTTCAGATTTTTCTAATTTTAAACCATCGTTGTTATTGTTGTTGTTGTCAGCCATGTTGATTGTTAAAAATGAAGTTCAAAATCAAAAATTACAGCATACATTTTATGAATCCAGAATTTCAATCTTAATCCAAAAAAAAAAATCGACGAAAAAGAAGAAAATTTCCATTAATCACCATAGAGAAAGTCGATTGTGATCTTGAAATGATTTTTATTTATTTCAAAAATCAAATTGGTGGCAACATTTGGATATTATTTGTATAATATTTACAATCAATCAATTGATGATTTTTAATGATAAAAATAAATGTTTTCAATAATAATAATAATAATGATAAATATTGAAAAATGAATGCCATTCTGTTTGCCTGTAATGCAAACCAATAACGATACCATTCAATAATGAATATAATCAATTGAAATGTACAATATAATGTTTGTATGAAAATTATTAGATTATAATTATTATTGATAGTAAATCGATTATCATTGTAAACGTTCAGAATCAATATGATAAACAATAAAATTAATCCCAAAAAACGTATCATAATCCAATTTAGTAATTCCAATGGATTATTATATTGTTGTTGAAGTAATTTTTTATATTGATTTTTTTCGCTAGAATTATCAATTATGATTTGAAGTGAATTTCGAAAAAGATAAATATTCCATATCGAAGATAATATGGATAAAATTATCAACATTTTTTTCAAAAAAAAAAATCACGAATCAAACGTTATTTATATTTAGAAAATTTAGTAAAAAAAATAAGATGATATACAAAATCACAAAATACAAAAAAAATGAGAGCAAAATATCAAAACAATGCTAAAATATTATAAACAACATTGAATTCGTTCATAATTTGTCAAACACTGTTTCCGTTAATGTTGTTTTTTTTTTCTTTTTTGATTGTCGGTCTAGATATTCCAGTGAATTTCCGGGAAGTTTTTCATTTTTTTTATGTTCATTTGGCCACAAAATTAAGTTACTAAATTTGAATTAATTTCAAAGAATTAAAATTGGATTAAAATTTTCATCAAAAATTAATAATGTTTACCTGAATAAATGTTTTGCAATCAACATTTTCAGTTAGATCACAATATGCAATTTCAGATTCTGATTCATCTGACATATCTGTTCCATTGACACTTGGCTCATAATCCATTTGATTAAAAAATAGACCATCTGGACAACAATTTCTTGTTAATCGTCTGTTGAATTGACATTCATAAAAACATTGACAATCTTCATCATCTTTATAACGAGCTGTCGGTTCATAGCAATGGGCATTCTCTTCAAATATTAATGGTTCACGAATTTCAATAGTAGTTGTTTCTATTGGTGTTATTGTTGTCATTTCCGTTGTAATTGTTGATGTTGATTCGGTTGTCGTAGATTCCTCTCTTTCAACACCATCAGTTGGAAGCAGATCATTTGGACTCATAGTTGTAGTTGTGGATAATGATGATTCAACATCATTAGCATTATCATCAGATTCCGTTGTTGTTTCAAGTGTTTCTAATGGTATTGTGGTTGTTGAGCTTGACTGTTTGTCCGTTTCCAGATTGACAGTCATTAGATTTTCAGTGGTGGTCGATGTTTTTTCGTCAATTTCCGTTGACATAGTTGATGGTGGCGTCATAATTTCGATATCGGTAATTGTTTCGGTTGTCGAAATAGTGGTGGATGATGATTGTGTAGATTCAGGAATTATTCCAGGTGAATAAGTATCTGGAAAATTGATTGGTATTATCTCTTTGATTGGGGAAGGTGTGGTCGTTGTTGTTGTCGTTGTGGTTGTAGTAGTAGTTGTTGTTGTTGTTGAAATTGGACGTCGTCGTTGCCAGAATTTTCGTTTTGTAGTTTTTCTACCATTATCATTGATTGGAAGTGTTTTTGTACCAAAAAATGGTCGACGCCGTCTAAAAGGTGGTGAATTATTGGATGTTGAATTTGTTATCGATGAAGTTGCCACCGACGATGGATTTTTATTAATGATGTTATTATCATTGTCATTAGAAATACAATCACGACCATAATGTTGAAGGAAAAATTTACGTTGCCATCGATTTGTAGGACATGGAACATTACCATTGTGGTGAGGTTCTGGTGACCATTTATTTTCATTTTCATTGTCGATTTTTTGTTGCGGTTGTTCAAATGAATTTTGATCGATTTCATTTGAAGTCGATGGTCGTTGATTTATATGTAGTCGTTTTTCCATCGATGGCTTATAAGGTGGTAATTGTGGCTACAATGTTAGAATCGATAAATTTTTATTAGTTGTAACGACAATTAGAAAAAAAAATCCAGACATACCCTTTTATTAAATTTTGTCCCAAATCGATTTGAATTGAATTTTGATGGCCATTTTGATTTTATCATTGGAATATTATCATTTTTTGACATCGGTGGTTTCAATATTGGTGGCCGGCATTGTTGTCTATATGTTGGATCACATAATTTATGTATAGGATTCCAACCAAAATTAAATGGACATTTCATTTCAACAAATTTAAGATTAAATAAACAACGATAATATTTTTGACAATCATATGGATGTGGTTTAGTTTCACCATTCATACATTCAGGTTTTGTTGATTTGATACCAGTTTTTATGATAGAAATTCTATCATCATTACGATTATTATTCCATGGATTTGACCATTTTGTTGGTTGAAAAGACCATCGATTATGGTTGTTATTATTATTGTTTTGTACAATTGGTGGTTTTGTTGGATTTATCGATTGTGTTCTAATACAGACTTTGGTTACAAAATCAAAACCAAATCCTGAACGACAACAGAAATAATTGACTCGGCCAATCGGTATTTTGTCAGGATTATCAGGACAAACATAATAACAATGTTTATTATCATCCGATCGTCCAACATAGAAACCACGATGAAATTTTGATTGTTTTGAACATAATAGTTGAAATGGTTTTTCCAGATATGGATATAGACGTTTATTACTTTGAGATCCAAAATGAAAATGATGATTTTGATTATTATTATTATTATTATTATGGTGATTTATTCGTGTCGATGATGATGATGGTTGATTTATCAAATCATTATCATTATTATTACTTCTTGATGGTCTATCATTATTGTTCAATCGATTTAGATGATTAATTGTATATGAATATGAAAATTTAGGTGTTTGATGTTGATGATGTAGATAGAAACCTGTTGCATCAATTACAATAATCAATATTGAAATAATAATGACGATGATAGTGGTGCATATTGTAATATTGGTTGTCATTATGATTATGAATAAATTATTTTTTTTTTCAAACAGGCAGTAAATATGATTGGGAGAATATCAATTTAATTTACATGATTAGAAAAAAAACAAGTTGCTTCCTGATCTATCAAATGATCTTGATTTTTTTTCTCGGATAAATATTCAAGATTTTTGAGCAAGTTTTTATTTTTCTGTTGATATATAATTAAATGATGCGGCATCAATCCGAGAATAACCCTTCTTCTTCTGGATTAGATAAACATCTTTCATTAAAGTTAGATAATTGTCCAGGGAAAAATATTTAATAAAAAGTTTTTTCAAACAACAAAAAAATTATTGAAGTATTTTATGTAATGACTGTCATTAAATAAGGAGTTTAGAAAACAAACGAAAACTATTTAAAACAAAATAAACACTAAATACACACATGAACAGAACATTCTAATGAATATATTAACAATACAATAATGAAGAGTACTTTTGGTGATTGGCTGAAGAAAAAAAATTGAAAGGAATTTTATTTTCTGAATAAAAAACAAAAATGATGCTTGATTAAGGATGTTTGATTCAGATGTGGAATTTATTTTTTTTAGTGGCGAACGACCTCGAAGCACAACAAGCTATAGCAAAAAACAAAATTGAATAGTAATGAATTTTTTGTTGTTTTTCAATTTAATCGAAGAAGAAAACTTGTTGATTCAAATGAAAATCAATTTCAATCAATTGAATTTGAATGAATGAAAATAAAATACAGTTTACATATGTGATTGGAGGGGGTATGAACTAATCGATTAATAATCATCGATTAACATTTCAATAAAACAATAGAATTTTTTTCCTTTTTTGCTTGTGATTCTTGTTATGAAGTGTGTTACTAAATTGAAATGAATAAATTTAAATATCGATTTACATTGTCTCATACAAACAGACACAAACACCAGAAAATCAAAACAGGATGATGAATGGATAACATTGAATACAAATTGATTTTTTTTTCTTTTTTGACAAATTTATCATTCTGTTTTTTTTAAACAAGCATGAAATGTGGCAGAAATTGAAATTGAAAAAAAAACTTGAAATATCACCATCGACGACAACAAAATTAACATTCACGACCGGAATCGAAAAATTTTTGATGCTGTACAGAAAAAAAAAATTATCAAATTGAACTTCACAAACACCCACACAGAGTGAAAAAATTGATTTCTTTAAAATTTTTTTCGAAAATTTAAGAAAAAAAAATTCACAATTTAGGTTTCCAATTACACACAGACATCACCACAAGACACAAGCACGACAACCATTAAAATGACATGCCAGTGTTGAATACACGGAAAAAAAAAGATTCTCTTCAAACATTGGACATCATCGATGTTGTCTTATTCAAGATGTTTTTAAAAGATGTCAAACCAAATGTAATGATGATGATGATGAGGATGTTTGTCGTCTGTTATGGATTTAATATTGAAATCAGCGAGTAAATGAATTTTTCAAAAATAAAACAAGAAACCCGAATGAATGGTTTGAATTGATGGAATAGAAAAACTTGAATTTTTTTCAAAATAACCCGAAAAAACGATTCATTTTGTTTATAATGATTGTCATTTTCAACAGGGTTGTAATTGTCATTTTGACATATGTCAAAGTTTTTTCTATTAAGCTGTTAATCATTCCAACAAAAAAAAAAATTGATTCTTCTTTACCAGTTAATTATCACGTCGGAGTTATTGTTTTGTCACTTCTTGAATTGAAACAACGAAAAAACTTTCCTTATCCAAAAAAAAAAAATTCAAAAAACTCATAAAAAACATTCATTCATTTTAAACAATGTCGCCATATAATGATGA